AAATCGGGCTAAAATCATGCAGTGTGAACTCGGCATTAGAAACACGTGCAAACGATCAACTATGATCTGTTTTACCCCTACAAGCTAGTGAACAACGCAAATCAAGGAAGGAATTTTCTATCACTGTTCAAGATAGCCCGTCGGGCAGGGCGGTGATACATTTTGGTAGCCCGAATGGAAAACACAATAGCCCCAGGACGTCGGGCTAGCGATTTTTTGCGAGCCCCGTTTAGTATACTATTAAATACTATTTTGAATGAGCTTTTATTTTTATATTTTCAGTTTTCATTTCAGTTTGTGCTTTGTGACTTTTTATTTATAAAAAAAAAAAATTCTATATAGCTTTATTTTTATTTGTTTTAGTAATTTCATTTTGAAGTGCAAGTTTATTTAATATTTATATTAAATTTTTACTTCAGTTACCAACTGAACTAGCCTATACAATTATAGTAGTTTTAATTTTAGTTAAGATCAACAACAGTATTCTCATATTCTTAAAAAACAAAAAAAACAAAACAAAAAACACGTTTTTTAGTTTGGAATGACATGAGAATCACTATTTGGCCTATTTTGGCACTATTTACATTATTTTGGTTTCAAAGAACTATTCCTTTAAACGTGAGTTTTCGTTCAAGGACATTTTCTTTTTGCATAAATATTAACTTATGCTGATGATAGTTTGACCATTCAAACTTTATAAAGTTAATGATACATCAATTTCCAGATCCATCTTTCCATTTCACTACAGGTTTTCTGAATTCTTCTAGTTAACCTTTTAAATCACTGTACTGAACATGATGGAGTCACTAAGGGCGAAAGCAACTGTAAAAGGTCAGGTTAAGGCATGCCAAATGGTGTGCTTTCTGTGCCAGATAATTGCAAAATAACAACCTGCTTTCAAACAGGTTTCTCAAACAACCATTTGTGGGTTTCTTTACAACAAACCCATAAAATTAGAGTAACATGAGGAAACAAGTGATCCAAATTAAACACAAGTATGATTAAAATGTCAGGACGCCTCCATTTCTCAAGACCTGATTCAGAAAGAAAATCAGTGACTGTTCTTAATTTTATATAAATGTCATATTAATGCCATAATTCTTAGAACAGTCTGGCAAACCAATGAACACCATCATCTGAGGACTCCCAGAGGGGCAAAGCCTCAACTGACTCGGATTCTAGCATCAGCCCATGCAGAAACAATACAGGTTTAAACCAGATTGTGAGCAGGGCTGAATGCTGAAGCATGGCTGGGCTTTATGCAAGCAAAAAAAAGTTAATCAAAGTTGTCCTAAGACAAGAACACATTTTGATTTGAGGACAACTTTGATGCAAGGTTTTGATCCAGTTCAAATGTTGACTAGTGTTGTTTAAAATTGATAAATTTTCCTATCTAACAATTACATCCCTTTTAGGGTCACTTGTGGTAAGAAATGTAGAGTTCTTAAAACTGCAAAATAAAACGTGCACATTATAATGACAACTACCATTAATTTGCTTTGTCATTTACAAGAGTGCTTTAATTTTTTGAGAGGGAATGTCTCTTATTTGAACCAAAAGGAGAGAAAATAAGATGCAATATGGAAACAAAACCCACAAACCATTTGGCTTGTCCAAGTCATTATTTAATGTGATTCAATTGAACAGCCATTAAGCCTGTTAAAAAACACAGTTGGACAGAAGATTATAAAACATCCAAACACGGCTGAGAAACATAGGTCTAATCACCCCAGGCCACAAAAATGCAGAAAATTGACAATGGGTAACAGAGAAAGGACAGCAGGGTTCCTATTCCCCATAAAATGGTGAGCTGTACGTTAAAAGATCTGCTGAAATCTTTCCCTTCAGTATGGACGGTGCATAGGTCTTAAATATTTAGGCTATAACCCTCAAAAGTGACAATAAACTTGGACAGTTCAGACTGAATCAAGAAATCCAGAGATGGATGAAATCTGCAGGTGTGGTGTTTCACTCATATGAAGTCAGTCACAGCGTTACACTGATGTGCCCTCTGCAGGTGGAGCTGGTTTATTGTCTTCAGGTTTCATGGCCGGGAAGAGAAGCACCTCCTATAGTAAAAGCACATCAAGTCAGAAGCAGTTTTAATATCAAAGTATTTACAGAATGAGATTTGGTCAGTTTATTTACAGGGACAAAATGTCCATTGTTTTATTAATATACAAGAAGTGGTTCACAAATGTTTCACAATCCGAAAAAGGGGCCATGGTGGGCCGTACCTTGATGTTGTTGGAGTCTGTGAGGAACATGGTGAGGCGGTCGATGCCCATGCCCCATCCTGCCGTGGGTGGAAGGCCGTACTCTAAGGCAGTGCAGAAGGTCTCGTCAATAAACATCGCCTCATCGTCACCCTCTGCCTTGGCCTGAGGACACGGATAGAACACTCATTCAACTAGAGGATACTTTCTTAGTAAATAAAAAGCCAAGTATGGTGAGACACGCTCTTTATAGCCATTTTAACAGAGCAGCTATCTCAGATGAGATTACAAACCAAACAAAGACTAGCATAAAAAAATGTTATTAAACGAAGTCTCTTATGCTTATTAATTTATTTGACCAAAAATACAGTAAAAACAGTAATATGGCGAAATTAAATTACCATTTATAATAATTGTTTTGTTTTTTTACTTTTTTGTATAATATAAATTATTCCTGTGATGCAAAGCTGAATTTTCTGCATCATTATTCTGGTCTGCATTGTCACATGATCTTTCATGTGACATCCACGTGATTTCTTATTAGGTGCGTTCGACTTCATGCGGCGCCGCGCAAACCGATCGGCGGCTGACTTGAAGCAGTGCATGTCGGTTAGAAATTTAGTCCGACTTGAACCGGCGCCGACGCCACGTCACTGTCACGTGTGGCATCTGTATGCAAACACCGCGCAAGCGTCACTAACGGGAGCAGAAATGTTTGGCTTGACGGCTCCGTTTTCAACTCCGCCCCCAACTGCAAGCGGCTACTCTCGTTGATCGCCGTCTGTAGCCGTGCTTCAAGTCGAACGCACCTATTATCAATGTTTAAAACCATTTTTTTTCTGCTTAATATTTTTGTGGAAACTGATGCATTTTTCTTTTCAGGATTCTTTGATGAATAGAAAGTTCAAAAAGAACAGGATTTATTTAAAATATATATATTTTTTGTAACAATGTAGAAGTCTTTACTCTCACTTTTCATCGATTTATTCCATCCTCTAGAATTTTTTGCTTCTTAGGACCAGCAGCAAAAGTTTGTTTCTTTGGACAAAATTTGAAAACTAAGAATCAACATTTGTGCAAGATTACACAGAAAATTATGTATTCAATAGTTTATCTTCACCTTAGCCTGCTGCTCAAACAGTTCTCGTTGTCTGATGGGATCGTTCAACTCTGTGTAGGCGTTGCAGATCTCCTTCTTCATCACAAACAGTTCAAATCGCTCAGTTAGACCTTTCTGTGATCTGTGCCTGGGGTGGAGACATCAGTATATACATCAGTTGAATGTTTTAGATACAGTGAAAAGTCATAAATGGAAGTTAGGCACATACCATTTTGCTAGAGGACTCATGATCTGTGGATGATCACAGATGAAAGTTGGATTGATGCACTTCACCTCCAGGAAGTCCCCCACTAACTGTCAACAATAATGTGCCAAAATGAGTTTAAAATGCGTGTACGATGACTAACACAAAGAATATGAAAAGTATAAATAATTAGTTTTTAATAAAAAAAGTGTCTTGAGTGCACATTTTTGAGTCAAAAACAAGTATTGCATATAATTTAACTGGTCTGTTAGTGTGCTTTGTGTGGCCAAACACGGATCTGCCATTTAAAAAGGCCAAAGTAAGGCTTCTGGGGCAGGATTCATGAAAATCTCAAGAAAGAAGTCATTTAATGAGAAGAGTTTTCAAAGGAATGTTCCGAAGTACATTTCTTAATTTTTTAAAGATTAAAAAAAAAAACACACACACACACACAAAGACCATCTTTCTGCGCTTAATGCAGATTTCTGTACTAATAATAAGTGTGCACTTTTTTATTACAGTGTCCAGTACTTCATACCTTGTCCAGAAGACGGGCAGTTGTCCTGGGAGGAGGGCATTCAACTTCTTTCTGAACACAAAGGTCATCTAAGAACTTGCGCGTTTCTGTAAACAACAAAAATAAATAAATGAATAAATAATGAGCTTTAATCATTATAACAATAGAGTAAAGCCCCAGCACCTATGTTAGGATGTGTCAAATAATTTTTACGTGGTACTGCTTATACTTCGTAAAAACCAAGTGGTTCAACAGATGTTCTCTATGCTTGGTTTATGGACTGTAACCCTTTACCATCACTGTCGTAGGTGTCAGGAGCTGGGAACTTCACCCCCAATTCCTTTTCCAGGTCTTGAGTCATGCTGATCCGTTTGAAGGGACTTATACTTCGTAAAAACCAAGTGGTTCAACAGATGTTCTCTATGCTTGGTTTATGGACTGTAACCCTTACCATCACTGTCGTAGGTGTCAGGAGCTGGGAACTTCACCCCCAATTCCTTTTCCAGGTCTTGAGTCATGCTGATCCGTTTGAAGGGAGGAGTGAAGTCTATTTCATAGGCTTGTCCCTCTGGACCATCAGGATGATACGTCACCTTATAACCTCCGGTAATGTGCTTCACCATTCCTGTAAAAGCAACGAAGAAACTTCACTTGGTGTTCTCGGACACATAATTTTACAAATTACAAAATCATGGTGGTGCAAATTACTGTTCATGCCAAAATATCATGTTAGTTTATTAAAAAAATGAATATTTTGTCATTAGATCCCTCATGTCATTCCAACCCTTAAAAGGAACACTCCATTATTTTTGAAAATAGGCTCATTTTCCAACTCCCCTAGAGTTAAACAGTTGAGTTTTACCGTTATCGAATCCATTCAGCCGATCTCCGGGTCTGGCGGTAGCACTTTTAACTGTAGCTTAGCATAGATCATTGAATCTGATTAGACCGTTAGCATCTCGCTCAAAAATGACCAAAGAGTTTCTATATTTTTCCTATTTAAAACTTGACTCTTCTGTAGTTTGATATTACGCAGCGCCTGAAAATAATCCCCAGCACGCTCCCTGTGCAAGCAGGTGGTCACGTTGGTAATGTTGACAGAAGTTGACAGAAGCCTATTTTCAGGCGCTGCGTAATAGCTTTGCGCCTGCTGCACCCATGGTACGGCAGCAACCATGGGTGTCTATTGTTCTATACCTGCAGCCCTCTACGAACACCTTGGCAATTGAATCGCCATTGGCTAGTAGATTTTTTTGTTTACTCGCCAGACTGATAAATATATACATACACATATATACACACACACACACACACACACACACATATACATACACACATATACACACAAACATATACACACACACATACACATACAGTGGGTACGGAAAGTATTCAGACCCCCTTAAATTTTTCACTCTTTGTTATATTGCAGCCATTTGCTAAAATCATTTAAGTTAATTTTTTTTCCTCA